TGACATTTTGGTGATCCTGCTCTCCAGGCCAGGGAGGAGAAGAGGGGCAGGTCAGCTGTTGTGGCAGTGAGGGAGCAGGGGACAGCATCATGGTGAAAGCAGCATATCTGCTGGAGAAGTCTCCAAACATGGGATCTGTGCTTCTCTGCTGGGGCTGAGGGCAGCTGACAAAGTTCAGAATAGGATGTGAATGCTCAGCAAGACATGGGAGGAAGAGAGCTGGTTGAGAACTTCTGTAAAAGGCTTTTACAGGAGACACAAGGTGAAATGGGGCAGGAGGATGCAGTGCTGGAGCAATGGTGCTGCAAGACAGGGAGGGTGGGGGGCAAATGGACCAGGGCATTTGATAGAGAAGCTCAGGAACAGAGTGGGCTTTCAAAGCAATCTCTGCATGCTCTGGCTGAGGAGAAAGGCAGGAGGTATTCCTAAGCTGAGGTGCCCAGGCCATGTCTCGCTGTGTTGTTGGAGCAGCAATGCTGCCTCCAAGCCCAGCAGTGACAGCTTGAGCACGTGTCATCAACCACGATGGCTAACGCAGCCACAAGGTGTAAATGTCACTAATGAATAAATTGCCTTGTGCCTTGGAGAGGCTAATCCATCACGGCCAGAGACAGGGATCTGACAAGCCTGGCTATTTCAGGCGTACCCTGTAGGGAGGAGGAATGCTTCATTTCTGAGCTGTCCCCTCCACCTAGGGAAGCTGATGCAGGGCTTGGCTCTGCGCCACTTCCCATCTTCCCAGCCACACAAGCTCAGGCTTCATCCCTCTTCATTGCAACTGAAGAAGCACAAAAGGATCTAGATTAGCCAAAGTGCCCTGTCAGCAGGGTGGTACATGGGGCCAGCAGGCGATTGAGGTTGGAGGGAAGCTGCTGGACGCAGGGCACACATGCTGTAGGGGGGATGGAATACAGTGGTGGGTCCCCAGTGGTTGGGAGAGCTTGTGTTAGTTGTCTGGGTATGTTTCAGGGCAGGAGTGCTTGGCACTATGTTTTGGAGGCATGCTGTTTCCTTCTCACCCCACTGTGCTGTGCCCACACAGCACAGGCAGTGCACAGCACCCCCATTTTCAGGACCCCCTGTGTGTGAACCCCAGCCACCAGCACTGTGGCTGACTGTGCAGAGGGTAGGTACCAAAGGGGCAGGGACAGCTCAGCCTAGACAAATCCAGCTCCGTGGGAGCAAAGGGAGGCTGAACACAGCAACCATTTCTGTGCACAGCCTCTGCTCAGCCTTGTGGCAGCCTGTTCCTCCTCCCCAAGTCAGTGCTCGAAATCAACCTGCCATCCTGTTTGTGACATATGCCAGTGTGACACCTTGCAAATCGATGCCTGGGTCTCTGTGAGCAGAAGCCGCCAGGCTTGGGAAGCTGGCCACTGTCTCCTGCTGCCGTGTGCGCTCTGCTCAGAGCAGCAGAAGCCGGGCTCGCCATCTGCTCTGGGATGGAGCCAGCCGGGTGCCCCTGCTCCGGCCTGATGGGACACCCCCACACAGCCCCAGGGATGTCATTCCCTTGTGTCATTCCCCCTTCTTTACCTTCTGGCCACCCTGTCTCTCACCATCTCTCTGGCACAGACCCACGGGTGAGGGGATGCTCCCAGCTTGTCTCTGCTGAGTGCTGCTGATGCTGTGTTGGGGGGTGGTGGCAGTGCCCAAGCTCATTCCCTCCTCCAAACAGAGACCCACAAATGACCCCCCTTCCTCAGAGCCTGTCAGTACTCCTTGGAGATCGATTTCATGGGAAAGCTGAGGTATTTGTTCTGGCCCTGCACTCAGCACAGTGACCAGCTAGTTACCCATCCTGTGGTAGCTGGACCTGGAGCTGACAAGTGACCCACCAAAGCAGGAATGTTCACACTCCAACAATCTGCTGTTGCTGTCTGACCAGAGTGTGTGGCATTTGAAATGGTTTCAACCCTTGCAGATTGGCAGATAGTTGACTGTTGGTCTTGGGTGTGGGCAAGTGCTGCAGGCTGCTTGGTGTGGACTTTGCTTTTTGGCCAAGAGATGGATGGGAGAGAGGGCAAAGAGTTCTCCAGGCAACAGCTACCTGTCCAGGCGTTCCTGCACCTAGCAGCCAGGAGTGGGTTTGAAGGGTGCTTAAGTGGTGTTAACAGTCTCAAGCTGTTAGCAGGAAAATGAGCAGTAAATATCATGAAAAGCAAGTCAGAAGTTGTTCTGGTGATGATGTGTTTTCCCAAGCCCTTTCCATCCCTTGTCCTCACTGGCTCTGGTGACTAATTCCTCCTCATGTGTCTGCTAGCATGTCTGCAGGATCTCACTGCTGCCCTCCAAGCATGAGCTTTCACTGCACAACTGGCTGACAGCTGCGACCCTGTCCTTGGAGCTACAGGCAGGCTTGCCTAGGACCAGGCCACCCCCATTAAACCCCCACCCTTGCTGCTGGAGCTGTTGCTTCATCAGCCTGGTGTGCGCTCTGCTCAGAGCAGCAGAAGCCGGGCTCGCCATCTGCTCTGGGATGGAGCCAGCCGGGTGCCCCTGCTCCGGCCTGATGGGACACCCCCACACAGCCCCAGGGATGTCATTCCCTTGTGTCATTCCCCCTTCTTTACCTTCTGGCCACCCTGTCTCTCACCATCTCTCTGGCACAGACCCACGGGTGAGGGGATGCTCCCAGCTTGTCTCTGCTGAGTGCTGCTGATGCTGTGTTGGGGGGTGGTGGCAGTGCCCAAGCTCATTCCCTCCTCCAAACAGAGACCCACAAATGACCCCCCTTCCTCAGAGCCTGTCAGTACTCCTTGGAGATCGATTTCATGGGAAAGCTGAGGTATTTGTTCTGGCCCTGCACTCAGCACAGTGACCAGCTAGTTACCCATCCTGTGGTAGCTGGACCTGGAGCTGACAAGTGACCCACCAATGCAGGAATTCACACTCCAACAGTCTGCTGTTGCTGTCTGGCCAGAGTGTGTGGCATTTGAAATGGTTTCAACCCTTGCAGATTGGCAGATAGTTGACTGTTGGTCTTGGGTGTGGGCAAGTGCTGCAGGCTGCTTGGTGTGGACTTTGCTTTTTGGCCAAGAGATGGATGGGAGAGAGGGCAAAGAGTTCTCCAGGCAACAGCTACCTGTCCAGGCGTTCCTGCACCTAGCAGCCAGGAGTGGGTTTGAAGGGTGCTTAAGTGGTGTTAACAGTCTCAAGCTGTTAGCAGGAAAATGAGCAGTGAATATCATGAAAAGCAAGTCAGAAGTTGTTCTGGTGATGATGTGTTTTCCCAAGCCCTTTCCATCCCTTGTCCTCACTGGCTCTGGTGACTAATTCCTCCTCATGTGTCTGCTAGCATGTCTGCAGGATCTCACTGCTGCCCTCCAAGCATGAGCTTTCACTGCACAACTGGCTGACAGCTGCGACCCTGTCCTTGGAGCTACAGGCAGGCTTGCCTAGGACCAGGCCACCCCCATTAAACCCCCACCCTTGCTGCTGGAGCTGTTGCTTCATCAGCCTGATGCTGATCTGGGTCTTTTCTGCTGTTTCTGAACATGAGTTCTCATCTCATTGAGGTGTGTCATCCAGTGAAAATATTTTGTAAATGCAAATAAAAATAAATAAGTATATTCAATACCTCGGTCTCGAGGATGGGAAACAGGTAGTGGGAGTTGCCCAGGTAGGGAGGTTTCACAGCTGCTGCTGCTGGTAGTAAGGAATTCTTCTGGACGTAGCCCCTGGAGCATCCATCAGTAGTTGGGAAGGGAGCTACACAAACCTGTGAGGGCTTGGGGCTGAGCCCTGTCAGCACCCCTGCTGCCAGGGCAGCCTCGCACTCCATCCTTTCTGATCTATGTGGGCATGACACAGTGCAGGTAAAGGTCCTGTCAGCCAGGGGCCAGTGGCACCCTCGGTGTCTGTATCCATCAGGCAGGGCAAGGCAGAAGCGGGTACGTGGTGAATAAATTCTTTTGTGAACACTGGGAAATGGTTTTTACTTTTCAACTCTGTCAATATGATCTAGCTCTGTCTGTCTCTCTATATATGTACAAACAGTATATCACAATGTTGCCTTTTTTGTTGGAAATATCAAAGTACAAAGATTGTAAACCAAATCGGTGTAATAAAAGTTTCAGATGATTCACTGAGGTGGTTGCCAGCAGTGGGTCTGTGAGCACTGGTGTTGGGCAGGGCTGGGAGGCATGGGAAGCTCCTGCGTTGCTCAGAGGGTGGGAGGGGATGGAAGTTAACCCACTTGCTTAATTCCCTCATATCTCCTGAGCAGGATGGTCAATGGACCAACTCACTCAAGTATGTGCCTTGCCCTATCCTCAGGTGACACCAGCCTGTAGAGCAAAAGGAAGCTGCTCCATTTTGCTCCAAGCCCAAGGAAGCTGCACTGTCTTCAAACTTGTGAGCTATGTGTGCCAGCAGTACTGAAGGGACCCCTCTAGCTTGAAGTTACGCAAAACACAGATTGTTTTGGGCATGTTTGCACAGAAGAGCACTGCTAGGTAAGGTAAGCATCTGGTTGTAAAGAATTCACCTGTTGCTAAGCAGGTTAGCACAGATTAAAAGCAGAGCAACCCAAAGCAGGAAACCTTGGTGCTGAGACCTCTTGATTTATTGAATTTATTTCTATTTACTTTTCACCACCCATATCAGACTCCAGAGAGATTTACTATAAATTCAAATAGATTATGGAGTAGAGAAATAGCCAGAAAAAGCTGCTGAGGAGCTAGAAAAAACATTCCCTCAATCCTCTATGCCTCTCACATCCTCCTCAGCAAAATCTTAAAGTTAGGTCTGGACTAGACCATTTAGTGGCAGAGACTTCATCTTAGCTGCTTTACAGGTGAAACAATATTCAGTTGCCTGAACTAATCTTGCTGCTGGAGCACATCAAAGCATGTGAGGTGAGATTTAGGATGCAGTGGGAGAGAGGGCTTAAGAGGCAGATTGCTCTGTGGTGCCACTAGAGTGCCTTGAGATCAAATGTCTGTCTCCAGTGAAGTCACAGGTTGGACGATGGGGGTCTGGGAAAGGCTGCGGTGGCGGCCACAAGTTAAGTGTTTCTCAGAAAAGCAAATAAAACCAAGACCCTGAAGTAAAGTGTTTCCAAAAGTGCACACCCAAAGCTCATTGCTCCCTGGAGCACTTTATTCAGAGGGGTTCAGTGGTGGGGTGCTGCTGAGATCCCAGCCTCACTGCTTCCCGGTTGGCCCACACAATTTCGTGAATGAGGAAATCAGTCTCCTGTTCCACCTCTGCGTGGCGGAGATCAAGCTCAGTCAAAGTCTTGTTGTTTGCCAGCCCTTCAAGCAGCTTCTTCCCACCATCCTGCAAAAGGATGAGAGGGGATGGTTAAAGGAGGACACCCAAAACACAAGTGTATTGCTCCTTTTCTCTCCTCCCCAGGGCAACTTCTGCTGCTGCCAGTGGGAGGTGCATGAGATGGTGCCAAAAGGGATAAAGGCCTCCACCCAGGTCCAAAATGTTGCTCACAGGAGAAGTGCAGAGGAGGAGTGTAACCTTATGCAGCTCTCTGTGACATGACACAAGCTAATGACTCCCTCTGGGTACCATGTCAGGAGTTCTCAAGCTCATGCTGGTTAATAACACATCTGGCAATGATAACCTGAGAGGAGTCTGCTCCCCCCTGTCCCCTGGTTCCCAGCTTACTGCTGGCTGGGGACAAAGGGATTAGAGTGCTGTTCCTCATCTTGGCAGTTGTGAGAGCCCAGAACTGGCAGTTTTCTGTCTGGATGCCATTTCCCAGGCTGGGTTGGCTTTCCTGAGAGGAATTATCTCATGTAATTGAAGACCAGCCTTCATGAGACAGAAAATGTGATGTAGCCTTAGGGAGGCAACCCACTCAGAGGCATTTCCCCACTACATGAAGCACTGTATTTAGGGATGTGACAACTTGAACTTTTTTCTGCTGTTGCTATTCTCTTCCAGGTACCAAATACACCTCCTGCCCCTTCTCCTCCATCCAGATGGGTCCCCTGATCCCAACACCCTGCCTTTTAGCCCTTTTGCCAAAAAGGGCAGAGCAAAAAGGACTGGGAAGAGGTCTCTTTTTAATGGGCTACAGAGGTCAGAATTGAATGCATCTCTAGCAAAACCCCCAATTTTCCCAAAGATAACACTGCCAGCCACCATTTGGGCTGCCATGGAACTTCACAAATGGGTAACAGGAGAGCTCATCAGAGGAAGATACTAAGCACAGAGATTATTATTTACTAAACAAAAATCCTTCTATCTTTTCCAAACTTTGCCCCCTTCTATCATTAAACTCAAATGGTTTTCCACATCCAGGACCATAAAATTCAGAACTCACAAAAGGTTTTCTGCCATCAAATCCTTTCAAAACCCTTGTCAAATACATTGATGCCAATATTCCTGCCAGCAGGGACAGCTGGGCTTGCTGTCTCTTTATATGACAGTGAGAATAATCGAGGCAGCACAGAAAGTTTAAAAGCCAGCATGATTGCTTTTGGCTGTCTAGTTTCAGATTTCTAAAGCTCTTTTTAATCAGCAGAAGAGAAGCGGTCTGGTTTGTGGGCATGTTGCATACTGCAGCTCTTAGGGATGCAGTTAAGATCTGTGGGTGCTCTTCTGTCTAGAAAATGTAAGCCTGTGTTTTAGGAGCCACTTACGAGCACACAGACATGACACTCCTGACCCACCACACCGCTCCCGGCCCACAGGGTGAGTTAAAGAAGCTCAACAACCAAGCCAATTTTCTAACAGTCTCCTCTGAGTGTGTGATGGACAGGAGAAATTCTGGGAAGGGTGACACTCTGTGTGCTGCTGAGTGACAGATGGCACAGCAGATCCAAAGCACAGAGGATATGCATGAGACCCTCATGCCGCCTATCATTAGCTACGCTCACGTGTGCGAGGCGTCTGTGATTTTTCCCAGACGTGCTTCCTGATTTTCAGTTTCCTAGGGGGAAATCCCTCTCTGCCCAAAAGCCCAAAGCCTCAAAGACACATTCAGCCCTAAGAACAGAGCTAGAGGTAACAAGTGAGGTAAATGCATGTTCATGCAGAGAAGGTGTCATTCTCTTTCCTGACATCTGCTACAGTCTCTTCCCTGCTCACAACTGATTGTTATCATAGCAAGAATGCAAAATGAGGGATGCATTTGCCTCTGTGGCTTTGAGACAGGCTCAGGATCTGCTTTGCAAGGCCACCACACAGGGTCACAGACTGCAGGCAGAAAAGGCTTCTCTTACCAGCCCCAGGTGGTTGCATGAGAGGTTGATGCTCGTCAGAGTGGTGTTCTGAGCCAGGACCTGGGAGAACACTGCCGCGGTTGGCCCTGACAGGTTATTACTTCCCAGATGGAGGGACTTGAGGCTGCTGTTGGTCAGCAGGGCACGGCCAATCGCCTCCCCGCCTTTGTCCTCCACGAAGTTGAGGCGCAGATTCAGGGAGGTCAGGGTGGAGCTCTCAGCCAGGCCGTGAGCAAGAGCCTGAGCCCCCAGGTGAGAGATCTGGTTGTTACACAGATTGAGGGTTTCTAGTTTGCTGTGGCTGATCAGCTTGCCAAGAGCTTGTGCCCCGTGGTCCCTGATGAGATTGTGGGACAAGTCCAGCTCCAACAAGCAAGGGTGATTCTGCAAGTTACGGGCCAGGAGCTTGATCTTGTCATCATCCACTTTGCTTCGTGTCAGCTTGAAAACCTGTGGGCATAAAAACCAGGGTCACTACAACAGCCAGTGCTTTGGACTGAGCTTTGTACAAGATCATCACGGAGTTAAACCTATAGTTCACCAGACAGGATTCACCTCCCTTCACTTCATTCACCTTTAGCTAGCAGGCTCAAGTATTTGCTTTCCTAGTGGGCTGATACTTCCAGCAAGCAGGGCATGCCACTGATGTCCCATGCCTATTCTAGAGAAAAAGGGTTTGCTTCCTGGAAATGCCTGTTCCTCTCTCTGACTGCACAAGATCTCTAACTGGGGGCTAAATTAAAGCAAGATAAAGCTGCCCAAACATCTGCAGCAACTAGCAGCAGAACCCAGACCAGATCACAGTTAACCTGTCTGAATGAACACATGCACCAGTGATAACCACGGTACAATGTCCTGTGTGCCTGGGACATCTTAATAGTCACAACAGAGGTAATTTCTCTTCTGGAAGCCACATTTCCCAAAGCATGACAGTCTGTGGGGAGTTCATCCAGCTCACTCTGTCTCCACTCTGGATAGCAATGCCCACTGATGTTTTGGAGGGGCTGAGTTATCTGCCCTGCAGTTGCCACAGAGCTGAAGATGCTGTTAGTTCTTAGGAGGAAAATCCCTCATTGCTCTAAGGCAAGTGTGAATGTTTCCCCATGCTGTTCTTGGGGGTCTTTGCTCCTCTGGGAGAGGCTGACATGCATTTATTGAGCAAAACTACCAAAAACTCCTAATGAAAATTTCCCTCTGGACTTTCCCTCTCCTGCCTCCCAGAACCATATGAGGAGTTAAAACAGTGGAGTGTTGCTGCTTCTTATGCTACAGGCAACAAGTTTTGTGGGAGCAAATATTTTTCTCACTGATCCCCTGACAACCCATTCCAACAAGGACATGTCAGAACAAGATACTCAGCGCTAGGCCAGCAGCTTAACATCTCTGCACTCTGTCAGAGTCTGTAATTTGCAAAAGGAAGGGTGGTACCTTCCTTTTGCAAGCAAAACTGGTCCCTGTATTTCTATCCACAGGGAATTTGAAGATCTAGCTGAGGCAGTAAGGTTCAGTTTGGGGTATATTACTTTCAAGTTACGGCACATCTTCACGGCAGCAGCCAAGTTGGAACAGTCCAGCTCAGTGAAGTTAAAGAGGCTCCACTCAAAGTTCATGCCACAGCTCTTCACACCATAAATGAGATGAAGCTCTTCAAGGTGAGGGAGATCAGTAATGAGATTTCTCAGGTCGTAGTGATGCATGTAGACCTCACCAATTTCAGCATCATCCTCTGTGTCAGAGAGGTCACTGGTCTCCTCCTTTTGATCTACCCGCAAAGGTGGCAGGAACTGATTGATCTCCAGTTTCCGCACATAGCCTTTGCAGAGCGGGATGAGCTCTAGGACCTCCTGGGGGTCTGTGGTGTTAGGGATGAAAAACTGCACAATGTTCTCCAGGTGACGTTCAAAGAACATCCGTTTCCAGCTGTCTCCATAGTTGGAGACGTCACACACTTCCCAGCGCTCCATACAGCACCTCTTCCAGTACTCTTCATGGCTTACTGTGTTGGCAGTCACAGCGAGTGGAAGGCTGGTGGAGAGCCTGTCCACCACCTTCTTTTGGTGCTCAGGCAGAAGATTGTTCAAAATAGGGTTCTCTGGAAGAGATAAAAACCATGAGAGGTTGGTGTGGGCATAGGAGCAATTGCTGGCACTATGGTTCTGCCTGGGGCACCAGCTGTGTGCTCATGCCCTCCCCTCTGCTGATACTGGCTCTCTCCTTGGTTGCCAGAAGCTGGAGCACAGAGCTAAGTTGGCAGAACACATATAGGATTCATTTGTACATTTCCATACACGATTTCTAACTTTTACAATGGAACATCAGTGTAATTTGGTTTACTCTCATAATATTTGGGAACTGCGCCAGAAACTGAGCTCCACATTTAAACTTGGTTTGAATGCAGTTTATATTCAGGGCAGGAATTCTGCTCCCAAGAGAACTATTTCAGCCTTACAGTGATAGGAGAGCTTGGCCTGCTATTTGCTGAACTTTCTCCCTTTTGGTTTCTAAGCATGTTGAAGAACAGTATTTGAGAACAACTGTGTGCTTTTCATGCAGGTCCTTGTGCCTATTTATCTTAATTCAAGCATCGGTCTTACCTCAAATTGATTCCTGTTCCTTTTTGCTGAGGCACACTCCTAGCTTTTAGGTCCACCTTGTTTAAATAAAAATTCTGTTTTCCCAGATATTCTTTCCCCTGAGTCTCTTTCCCAATACTTGCCCTAAGTCTCAGCTGTCTTCTCTGGTGGAAATTCTTTGTGCCCAGAAATGCCAGAGAAAAGCCATGTGTAGTCACACCATGAATATTTGAGCATGTGTACACAGTTGTGTTGAGTAACATAAGTCATAAGGGAAGAAACCTATCTGTGCATGGGAAACCAGATTATGAAACACAAAGTGGCGTTAGCTTTATAGTTCCCCAATTTCTGGGACATTCCCTTCCTAAGGACACTGACAGTTTTACCACTGCCTCTTCCTGGAGTCTATTTTCCAGTGTCCCGTGACCTTCTCTGCAAAGTCCCACGACACAAGCAGAGGTGGGACACATATGGGCAGGGCTGGGTTAGCTTCACTCAGGCTCACTCAGGCCCCACTGTGGGCAAGGTGCAGCCTCACAGCTCAGGTGACAGCATGAGGGTCCCCATGAAAAGGAGCCCACTGCTTTTACATGTGCACAGTGAACATCCAATGCATTTGGCATCAAACTGACTGATCGGGCTGCTGGGACTGCAAGGCTGTCCCAGCTCAGACCCTCAAGTACCTTCAGCTCCTGGCATAAGGCAGCACTGAGCTCCTCTGTACTGTCTTACAGTCCCAGTGTGGACATAGCCTTAAAACTATCTGTACCTTCAGGTACCTTATGCCAGGAGCTGAAGGTACCTCAAGTACCTTCAGCTCCTGGCATAAGGCAGCACTGAGCTCCTCTGTACTGTCTTACAGTCCCAGTGTGGACATAGCCTTAAAACTATCTTTGGTCTTTGCTGCCACTTCACTGAGTCAGCCAAAAAGACAGGCCCTTCTTTTCCCCCTCCCCGTGAGTTCTCAGATGAGACATGCTTCTTCTGTTTTGCTGTGTTTCATCAGTCCACCTGCTTCAAAAGCACATTCCCTGCCTGAGGATATAACTTGTCACATCACCACCAAAAGCCATGGAGGAGGGCTGAGCCTGTGAGTACAATACTGAGATGATAGCTCCTCTGGGCAGGGAGCAATTCTGCATCTCTTTGTACAGCACTCAGTACAACAGGGCTCCATCCTTGATCACTGCCCTAACTCTCTATGAATCAATAGCAGGAAACAGCAACTGCACAGCCCCAGTCATGGTTGAGGTGAGTCCAGAAGAGCACCAATGGAAGATGATGTGATAGAACAAGGTCAGTACAGAGTCACAACCTGGAGTGCAGCACAGAGGACTACAACCATCCCTAGAGTGTACAAATACATACTTAGCAACTAAACAGTTTGTTTAACTGGCTGCCCAAGGGGATATTTCTCCCCATCTGCTCCTTTGGCAGGGCTGGGTGCCACACTGCCTTTCAGATACATCCGCCTGCCTTGTTGACCCTCTGCTCTCTGGGGCTGACCCTCTCTCCATGTGTCCTAGAGTAAATGTGCTCCCACTTACTTTCGAAATTGTGAGCGATGTGCTGGATGCAGAGCTCAGTGAGCTGGGGGACAGTGACCAGGGACCAGCTGAGATCCTCAGTGATGCAGCGGCGTGTGTAGAATGAGCCATCGGTGAGGCTGGCCTGAGGTGGGCATGGTGAGGGAATGGCTCTGCCCTTGTCACCAGCTTCTGGCTGCTGCATCCTTGCTCAGGACCTACTTCTCCTTCAAGAGAAGCAAGGGGAAAATTCCTTGAGAGTCACCACTGCGTGGTTACCTGCAAAATAAAAAGGCAGCTTTAGAAAGAAGCTAGCAGTATTAATGGTCAGCTCACACTGCTCTCCTGTAACACACTTGCCCTTTGCCTGCCTCCTCTGCTTTGGACTGGAAGCACTGCAGCCAAACAACTATTACTCAGCCTCATCTTTATACCCTGCCCTGTGCAAAGAGGTCTCTAGGCACCACATGCAATAAGGAGATAATAACGTGGTGTTAATTCAGAGTGCTGTTGAAGAGGATGGACAGGAATTGATTGTTTACTGTCTTTTCCAATAAAAGTAATAGGGGAAGCTGGCAGAAGCTAGGCTTAAACCAAAGGGTTCTTCACACAGTTGAACTGGGGAATTCCTTGCCACAGGATGCTGTGTATGTTAGGAGTCTGCAGACTCTTAAGAAAAGTCCATGGTAGAGAAACCCTTTGAGGATGAAATACACAGAAGTCATGTGGTTCAGTGTGAGCAGCTGAACACAGCTGGGGGTGGGGAGAGTGCTGCAGGAAAGAACACACACTTGCATTGTTTTTCTACTCTTCTCCAGGTGTCTGCTTCTAGCCACTGTCAGAGATGGGGTTTTGGGCCAGCTATCCCCTGGTTTGATCCAGTATGCCTGTTCTTATGACTCTCTAAAGACAGATGCTTTACAGATGAATACATTGTAAGTGTATTCTTTTCCTGCTTTTCTCCATTATTCTCTGGCTGAACTCCTTCCAAACATCCATTAAATGATGAGATGGGTCAGACCTGTTGAGACCACACTGAGCCTAAGCAGATATGAGCTAAAAGGACCAGCCTGGAGCAGAAGGAAGGATGCCTGGCTTTCCCAGACCGAAGTTTTCCATTTGTTGTTTCCTATTCCAACCTCAAGGCCAGCGCTCTCCTATTAGCTTTGCAGAGCTTTCCCAGACCGAAGTTTTCCATTTGCTGTTTCCTATTCCAACCTCAAGGCCAGCGCTCTCAGAATCCCACATGTATGGTTATTGCCTGGAAGTCCTAATGGTTCTCTGACCAGCCAGTCTGAAAGAGGCAGAAAAGACACCAGGAAGGAATCATCCACTTGAGTTCCGGGTTCCACAAGAGCATCTAGGTCTGGTGAGCATCCCTCAGGGCATACAGACCCATGCTGATCCTTACTGGGGCTAACTGGACTTAACAGGGCTGCAGCACAGGGCTGGGCAGTTACAGACTGCAGACACCTAAAAGAAGCATGAGGCAGAGGTGGATGGCAATGCCAGAGGTGAGAACACCTTCCTGCATGACCAAGAGGATATCTCAGGGCAGTGGTGGCCTTGCACCACCACAGGGTCAAAGCATCCTGTCAAAGGATAACTGCCATGTAGGATCTTTGACCACCACATCCCTCACCTGAAGGGTGGTTTGATCCCAACCAGCTCCTCCTTTGTGAGGGATGTGACCCAGACAGTGGTCCACAGATGAACCATTCAGTCCTTCCTTTCCCTGCACAAGGTTGCTACTTTCACCTCAGCCTTCCCAGCTGGTGCTGTTTCTGCCAGCACTGCCCTCTTCCTGAAAGCTTTGGAGCTGGCTTTGCTAGTCTTACTCCCTCTGCTCCTTCCCTTTCCAAAAGGCATCTAAGGAGTGGTCTGCAAAAGAGGAAAGAGAGGAGATCTGTGAAATCCTGAGGTCTAGAAGAGAGGAGCAAATTATTCATGCTGCAAATATGTCAGCAAAGGTTTCTTCAAACACACTTGAGGCAGGCCTGAGAGGGACAGTCAGGAAAGGGTGGAGATGGCAGTGGCAGGGCATTCTCTGGCCCAAAGCAGGAGGATGAAGGGTGCCAAGGACAGGGAAGCTGTATTTCCTGGGAGGCAGTGGTGTACAGATGACACAGGTAAAGGCTGTAGAAAAAGGGAGCCTGATCTGGTGAAGGGTGGAAGTGGAAAGAGAAGGAATGAGTGTTAGGCAGCTGTGAGAATTCTGGGAATCCTTTCCCTGCAAAGGTCCTTGTGCCTAAGGAAGGTGCTATGATGATGGACCACCTTTCAGGAGGAAGAGACCTGATTCTCCACAACAAACTATCCTAGCTGAGACCCAACTCCTGGTGCTCAGTGGACTTCCATGGAAGGGCAAAACACAGCTAGAAGGCAGTGAGGTGGCATTAATAGAAGTGACTGGGAAAATTGTTTTCTCCTTGCTCAGTCCTTTGTCCTATTGGAAAAGCATCTGTATAATTTTGTCCCCCAGGCCAGTCACAGCTGATTGGAGCTTCTGATGGCTTTCCTGATCTTTTGGAAACAATCATTAAAAGCCAGCTGTTGGGGCGAGCCAGTGCAGGACTGGTGGCCTAGGATTATTTCCTGTCTGTTCCAGCAGACGATGGGATTGCCCGTTTACTGATGGTAGGCTGATTTTCAGAGGGTGGGTAACCCATGGCACATGCAGAGCTGCTGAACGGGCTCCAAGAGTCCAGGCAGGAGACACAGCTGCTGTGGGCAGGGCTGCCCAGGCTGCTGAGAGGCTTTCCATTGATCTGAGCCCCAGAGCATGTCAGCCCAGCTGACTCCACCATGCCCACTTGTCATTCATTACAAAGCAAACAGGAGCAAGGCTGCAAAGCACCCAAAGCAACCCCATGCCTGTGGTGCCAGGTCTGACCCTGAGCCACTGCTCACAGTACATCCATTCCCACCACGCCAGCATGGTGAACACACCTGCCAGGTGTCCTTACCACCAGAGAAGGGCCTCCTTCCCTGCTCACCCCCTCTGCCTCAGCTGTGGGAGTCTCACCCAGCCAGAGCTGAGACTCTAAGCCAGCTTCCAGAGCCGGGTTTGCTAAGCACGTATTTAAACACGGGGTAGCGCCGTAATTCACTATCAATAAACCAACTCAACACTGTTAATGCACGCTCCTTCCCACCCACTCTGCATATACATCAGTCACCTATCCTAAAAAGGCTCTATTAGACAATATACCATGAACAGAGCCATGTAGTAAATCCCCAGTTTTTATCGTTTAACACCCAGATTAGACTGAAAAGTAAATAATGCTTGAACTTCTTAAAAAAATAAAGGAAATCACACTTCCCTTCCCAGGAGGAACTGACAGAAATCTACTCACACAACCAAATTATGCTGCTACTAACATGCCTTACAAACTTTCTTCATCTAAACCTGTTTTGATCTTGAAATAAAAGATTTTTGCTCTTTTCATTCACACCAAATCCCAGAGAGACCAGAAAAGAAGAGCTGCATGGAAACTGGTGACCTTTGGCTGATGCTCCTACTAGGATTACAGAGATCCAAGAAACGGAACAACTGTAAACACTGTGCTTACTGGAGAGCTTGTAAGAGCAGGATAAATTATTTCTAAGGATGGCTATGCCCCAGCCAAGACTGCATTTGCACTGGAGCTCTGTCTGTCCCTTAATTGAGGAAGCTCTTATGCCACTGCAGCAGCACCCTGCAAAAGCCAGTTGTTCTGGAGGTGCGCAGACCTTAATGCTGTTACCTGCAGTGCAGGCAAGTCATCCTGAGTCTGTCTAACACCGCTGATCCCACTGACACCCGTGGGGATTTGCCATGCTCTGGGGAACTTCCAAAGGCTGATGCTAAGTGTGCATTAGGACACCATGTTGCAGGCTGAGACAACATCCAGGGCCTGAGACACCGCAATGGGCTTTAAGTGAGTTTAAAAAAAAAAAAAAAAGAAAGAAAAAAAAAGGTGCCAAATGAGGAATCTATTTAGCTTCAGATATAATGAAATTTGTCTGTAAATGGGAGATTGAGCAGAGTGAGGTCAGCTGGCCGTTTGGGAATTTGGTTCATATCACCACTGTAATCCTGGCGGTGTGAAGGGCCAAAACTGTGCTCCTGCATCTCTGCCAGCACGACCTGGGAAGGACCACTGCCCTGGTGGGATGTCACAAAACCAAAAGCCCTTTCGGACCTGAGCACTGCCCACCACAGCCCCGGCACTGCGCGCAGCTGGCTCTGCCGTGCCAGCCCCCGGAGAGGGGTCCCCTCCCCAGGGGACAAAGGAGAACGCCTGGGTGCCCCGCCAGCCCCACAGCCCAGCTCCTCGGGATGCCGGCCCTGCGCTCCCCCCTGCCAGCCAAGCTCCTCTCCAGAGCCCCGAGAGGGCCGAAACTCATCGGCGCGGCCGCTTCGTCACGAGTCAGACCTGCGAGCGGCCGGGGAGGGCCGGCCACGGGCGCCGGCCGTGCCCGGCCCCGCAGCGCCGGGGCACCGGGCCGTCACACGCGCGGGGTCCCTGCCCACACCGGGGCCTGGCCGATTCGGCTGCGGGCTCTGTCCTGCTGCCGGGGCAGGGAACGCAGCGGGAGCAGGACCAGCCCGGCCCCGCGCTCGCCGCCGGCGCTGTCGCCACGGACGCGGCCGTTGCCGGGCGCTCCCGCTGCCGGGCCGTGCGGGCGGCAGAGCCAGCAGGAAGGCAGAGGGACGGGATGCGGGATGGCGCTGCCCCGTCGCCCGCCCCGGGCAGCTGCTGAGAGTCAGCGCCGTGGTGAGTGGAGCCCCCTCGTCCAGCACAGAGGGGATGTGGGAGCTCGCCACCATGCCCCACGAGTGCTGGCTGGGGAGGGAGCATTTGCCGAAGTGCCGGACACTGCTGCAGCAGCAGCTGCCGCTGTGGCATCATGGAAAGAATGGGGCAAGGTGTGCAGTGTGAATGGTTTGAATACCAGTTTGTATTCAAAGCATGAATACATCGCTATCCTCAAGATACCAGTTTCCTTAAATGTTTTTACGGCTAAAGGTATGCTGTCTGTGCCTGAAATGGGCTTGCTTCAAGGCCTCATATTTTGGGGCAGAATGACATCACAGGCAGGTCTGAGGGGGAGGAAAGCAAATCTGAGAACTCCACTGATGGCAGGAAGATCTTGGTCCATCTGCTGCATGTTTGTCTCTTCTCCTCGACCTGTTTGTTTTTCATTCTGCTGTTAAGCATCCTCTGCAGAGGTGGGGAAAGACCAGAATCCTCATCAAGACACATATCATGCTGTGGAAAATGAAGAGGAAACAAGGGGATGAAAACATGCATCTCCTCTTTCCCATTTCTCAGATCTAAGCATTGCAGTATTTGCCAGGGTATTTCCAGCCTGAGACAGGTTTTTCTTTCACTCCTTTGGAATGCTGATGTAGCGGGCACAAGAGGAGTGCAGCTAGCCTGTGCCCTGTGGGAGCATACATAACACTGGTGCCAGCTCTCATGACAGTCCTGCAAGTCCCATAATAGCTGGCAGTTTTAGGAAGCTGTGCTGACTTTAATATAAAATTTACCTTCTGGTCATGAAGAAGATGTTAAAAGCATGATCCCAGATCACCCCAAAGGCTCAGCAACAAAACAATAAATGCAAAGAGGCATAGATTAAAAAAAGGGATCAAGACTCTGAGGCTTCCTTTGTGAATTTCAAAGATGGAAAGTTAGACTTTGGCAGCAATGTACTTCTTTCACTAGGTGTGGCCTGATTCTGTCACTCAGCTCCCCAGAAGACAGTGACACTGCCTGTGAGTCAAGCTGGTGTTTAGCACAGTGGGGTAGTCAGAAGGCTCACAAAGCCCTTCACAAACGCTGGCCTCACACTGACCATGTTACTCCTGGGAACACATCTCCAGGGCTTTTGAGACCTTGAAAAGCAGAAATGAGAGCAACATAAAGTCAGGGATATTTTCTCTTGCACTGATTTCCATGCACACATTCAGTCAGACTCCTGAATTGCAAAGGAGATAGCCAAACCAGATCCACAGAAATAGCATCCCTGAGTTGCCTGCATAACAGTGATCAATTTTTTGAGCTGAGCCTTCAGTAAGCCATCAACACTGAGGTTTTTAGCCCACCTCATGGACAATGTAATGCAAATGTCATGTTTTGGAGACTTCACAGTCCAATGGAGTTCAGCTGTGTCTACCCAGTCATTGATTCCCAGTGCCCAATATTGCAGTCAGTTGTCAAAATGGATGCAATCAGGTGTTGAATCATATGCTGAAAAGAAGCAGTGGTAGTCCAGAAATAGCTATGTTAACTCTTTCTGTACCTTAGCATTTATTTCCATGAGTACAGACATTAGTGTTGCTCCCAGTGGGGTGTGCAGTGGCAGTTGCTCCTTAAATGCTGTGGAGTAGGGTAAAACATTGCATCCATTCCCATCCCCATCCCCACTGTTGATAGCTGAGAGTAAGGACGAGGGAAGGTGCTGCTTCCTGGCCCTAGTGACTAAGGCACTGTCCTACCAGCAGACCCCAGGTGCCCTCTGTATCCCTCCAGCTACCGGGTCTCAGATTTCCCCTAGGCAGCACCTGTGATGGTGTTGTGCATTATCAGCTCTGCCAGCTTTGCCTGGAGCTGGAGGACGGTGTAACAACAGTCCAACCTCAAATCACAACAAATAAATTGGACAGGAGCCAGGTCCTGCAGTGCCTTGTGTGGGAGGAACACATCCCACAGGGAATCTTCTGCTAATGTGAAGATTCAGGTGCTGTTCTGGAAATAAAGCTGTGGCTGTAGGGTGACAACCTTTTTTAGTGTCCCAGCATGATGGACTAGAAACATTATCTTCACTGGCTTTGCCCAGCCACCAACACATCGTGCAGCCAAGCATTTCTCCTCTCCTTCTCCATCTTCCTCTCCCTCTCCTTCTCTCCAGTTACACCAGGTCCAGCTGTTGCTTCAGGGACTGCAGGAACACATCTGGTGAGCTTTCTGCCCACAGCAAGTAGCAGGCTGTTTGTTTGCAGTGGCAGCTGGAGGTAGAAGGAGTGAAAAAAACTCCTCTCTGTGCATGTGTCCTCCTGGTCAGCTCTGCTAGTGCATCTCCTGCAGCCTGCAGTGTCCTCACGTCACACCGTGATGACCAGAAGTCACCACACCAGTCCAGGATATAATTTCATGTGAGTGCTGTGCTCCGTGTGGGGCAGCCTCTGTAGCTGATGCCTGCAGCGAGGCAGCCTCCATCTGTCAGATGTGGTTCATCTCTCCGTGGGGAAGAACCGTGGGCACAGCTGAAGGTCAGGTTTGAGAGGAGCCTACTGGTGTTTGATGTCTGCCTGACACCAAAGGGATTCACCAGAACAGGAGCCAGTGAGGTTTGTCCTCAGCACCAGAATCCTCTTTCATTAATGGCTTCTACCCTTTCAATGAGGAGCACAGAAAGTTGCCAAAACTGGGCAGGACTCAGAAAACTGAGGATGTTGAGGAGCAGGGACTGGCTCCAAAGCTCTATTTCCAGGCCCTCCTCTGGCTGGCTCCCTGCAGCTCTTGCTGGAAAACACTGCTTACAAGCAGCCAGCAGTTCCTGGAGTCCTGGGGGAAGCAGTAAAACAAAGGAGGAAAATTGCCCCTGTACAGCCAGTGCTGAAGGATGGGGGAGCAGGATGCTCTCTGTGCTGCTGCTCTCCCAAAGCTTTCTGCTCTCCCTGGGTCGCAGCAGGAACCATGCAGCTGCTGACAGCTATTAATAGATGGGGAGAACGTGGGCTCTTTTTCCTACTGCTTCCTGGGATGAATGGTAATTACCCTTAATGAGACTGGATTTGGTTCTACCTCCTACCTTCCAGCCCCCTTGCCTGCGCTGGCAGGGAGAGACCAGCCCATCTGCTGCCTGCACTCCTCTGTGGGGAGCGGAGCTTGACAGCAGGAGTGGAGCTCATCTCCCCAGGACATGTCCCAGGCCCTGCTCGTGGATGCTGGCACAGGGCAGGAGGCAGAGCCTGCCAGCTGACAGGCTGCAGCAGCTCCCCTCAGCCTGGCCTTTCCAGTGCACACAGGAGCCCCGTGGGGGTGAGATAAATGATCCCACCACAGGCTGAGGGTGCAGCTGGCTTGGATGCTCTCTCTTTGAGATGAATTAAAGAAATAAAAACAAAATGGGGAACAAATAATCAGGAATCTGACCTATTGCTATGATTGGCATTCCTATCATCATGCATCACACCAAGGTTTGTGAAAAGGGGTATCCTTCCTCCCTGGCTGGTGTAAAACCAGCCCTAGAATATTCCTGGACTTGCCCTCCATCTTCCATAGGGCACAGTCTAGCTGCCATAGGGTTAATCAGGATATGACCTGCACAAGTGGGATGGTTTTGTTGTTCTCATACCACCGAGCCTCTGACCTGAACTCTGAAGCAGGAAGGTTTCCTTCATTCAGGTTACTTCAAAACTACTGCATAAATAGTGCAGGAGGTTTTCTTCATCCACTGGGAGGCTGTGCCTCCTAGGAATCACCTCCAAATAGATGGATGCAAATGTTAAATGTTTCTTGTACATCCCAGTCTCTGGCTCTGGGGCAGGATATTCTCTGCATTAGTGTTTGCCCAAGGTGCTTGGTTAAGGCTGCACTTCACAATCCCACCTCTGTGCTGTCCTTCCCATCTGGACAGCCACAGTGCCTCCATGACTCTTTACCACCCTTGAAAACTTAGACTTTTCCTTTCTTGGTTCAGTTTAGCAGCTGGTAACACTTTTCACCATGGGAACCCTGACCCTTACTGCTTGCAGCAGGGCAAAGGGTAAAAGGCCGCCCCATCTTGCCAAGCTGAAACTTCCCAGGCAAGACAGTTTATTTGCCTCTTAGTTTTTAATTAGTTTTTTTCCAGATCATATGTTTTCTTGGCTGAATCAAAAAACTCTTCCTGCAGGCAGGATCTGTGATCTGTGCCCAGGGACCTACTGGCTCCCATTTGCAAACCCCTGCCTCCTTGCTTCTGGAGCCCTCTCTTTTTCCCTCTCTCTGAGATCCCTCCAACGTCAGACCAGAAGTTTCAAGTCCCTCTGCTGACTCCCACTCAGCCCCTTGTGTTGCATCCAAGTGCCAGATGGCACTCTAGGATCGAGAAGGAGCTGTGCCAGGCTCCCCTCCCTTTCTCTCCACCCTTCAATCTAGGGAAAAGAGACAGAGAAACAGCCCTGCCAGATTTCAGGCTGCCGTGTTTGTGCCAGCTTCCGTGGTCTTCAGCCCCAGTTGCGGTGGGATTGACATGGGAGGTGCTGGCACAACCCTGGAGTGAGGGATGCCAGGGAAGAGAGGACCTGCTCTGAAGCTCCCCTCTGTGCCCAGCTCTGTGTTATAATTAACAACCAATGCCGAGGACACAGCCACAGCCACTGCTTCCTCCATGCTCCCCCAGCCCTGCTTTCTTCTTTTCTTGTTGGAAAATTTCTTGTTTGTCTGGGGTTGCTGACCAGCACTGGGTAACTGCCTGCAAAGGTCTGCAGGTCTGAAGGTTTAGCAAGCTCCTCTTGGGCAGGACAAGTGCCCAGGCCCCCTATATTGAAACGAGGAGGAGGAGGAGGAGAGGAAAAGCAGAGAACTGCCCTGCCAG